CTTGTGTTTTGATGGTTATTGTAGTTTCTATTTTTCCATGGGCCCCATATTGTAAATGGAAACAGGTCATCCCACTGTATTAGACCGCTGTGAATAATGGGAGAGCAATTATTTAGGGTGAGAAGCCAATACTTATTGTTATTTAAAAGAGAAGTATGTATGCCTAATTCTTCCCAAAATTGCCTCGCTATAGGACAATGCATAAATATATGCTCAATGGTCTCAATGTCTGTGTGACACATAGGGCAAGTAATATATATATTTATGTCAATGTGGCCTAGGTATGCTCTACAAGGGATTCTATTATGAAGGCATTGTCATAAAAAGAATTTGATTTTATTGGGACAGTGTAGTTTCCAAATCGAGTTGAAGTCTTTATCCGCTTTTTGGTAACTATCGTTAGATCATAGGATGATCAAGTCGTAAACTGGCCACTACTGGTCAAGTCCCATATAGGTTTATCTTTTCCAGTCTTTATATGTGGTAGTTCAATAGCACGTATTCGGTTGGAAATAGTATCAGGTATATCAAAGGATAAGGTGGAGAGGTTCCACTTATCATTGAGGGATAGATCGTGAAAGGTCACTTTAAGGTCGCAAAGGAAAAAAGGGCCTTGTATGCATTGTCAAAGAGGAGGAGTTTTAGGGATCCATTTGGATTCCCAAATATTTAATTTGGTTGAATGGTGAGGTTGCCATAGAATACCTTTATTGCAAATACTCTATCCTTTCAAAATCCCCCACCAGATGAAAGAACTGCTTGCGTTGGAGGCTTTTGAGGACGAGTACTTTGTGGCTATGAGCTTAGCCCAGGGAGATGTTGTATTATTTACCCATCTTCATGTTAAGTTAGTGAGGGAGGCGAGGTTTTTTGATGAGCTTTGTATAGTCCTAGGCCTCCCTTGTCTTTAGGTTTGGTAATAGTGTTCCAGCTAATAAGGTGTAAATTCTTCTTGACATTTTTTATTCCCCAAATGAAGTCACTCTGAATTTTATCAATTTGATTAAGGATTCTCTTAGGAAGAAAAGTATATTGCATATAGTAGCTAGATATAGAGTTTAAGGTCGGCTGGGCCAAGGCTGTTCTTCCCGCTAGGTTTAAGAAATTGGATTTCCAATTTGCTAATTTCCTTCTCATTGACTCAATGACAAAGTAGTAATCAGAGTAAGTAGGACTTTTTTCCATTATTGGAAATCCTAGGTACTTATCAAAGTCTTTGGGACTTTTATCCCCAGATTGTTGGCAATTGTAATAGTAATTTCATTATGGCAATTAAGAGGGATATAGATCTTTGATTTATCTTAATTGACTTTTTGTCAAGAGTGTGTACAAAATAAATCTAAAATATTTTTAATAGTGGTGCAAGACTTCATATTCACTTTAGACATTAAAGTTAAGTCATCTGCAAAGAAGAGATGGGAGAGTAGGGGTCCTTTATTGCTAATAGTAATTGGATCCCAATTAAGGGTGTCTACTTGGTACGAGATCAGACGAGAGAACATTTCCATGCAAAAGATAAAAATATACAGGGACATAGGATCACCTTGTTGTATTCCCCCACTTGGGCTAGAATATGTTGTAGCGGTTCCATTAACAAGCACTGCAATAGTTGTTTGAATTTGTTGAGAGAGTTTCGAATTGAAGTACAAAAGTATTTACTATTTACTTTAATAGCTAGAGAAGTATTATCATGAATATTTATTGTTTTATCTTGTTTGGATAAATTTAATGATTCTTATAGGTAATCAAAAGAACTTGCGAAGTTATCAATTGACTCAATCTCGGAAGAATAGTCTAAAAACATTCTTCGTCACACCAATTATTCAAAGTGTTCTTGCATATGTTTATATTGGTTTTCATTAGGTTATCTAGCGGAATTCATGTTCATTCGAAAGAAAAATTTGAATTCTAAAGATAATCTAATCTTCTATTGAATTCGTAAGAATCAATAGAAATTAAATATTGAACTTAGAACAGAGTTAGATCCTAAATAATAGTTGTTCCCCTATCTTGTCAATGCCCTTATTTCTCTCATTGATATTCGTTCGTCGTAGCTTAACTCTTGGTTTCCTATAATCAATAGTTATTTGTTAATTTTAGTTTATTACTCTTGGTTCTTCAACCATCTAAAAACCAAAGGTTTATTCTCTAGAATAGCGATAAGTTGAAAATTATTCGAATATTCTTTAAATCAATTTATATGGAGACGATCAATGAACTATACTTACTTTGACTAGTGAGCTTTAGTTTTTATATGCTGATTTTGCACTTGACAAAAATAGTAGTATACTTGAAAGAATAAGGTACATAACATTAGAACAATTTAGGATGGTGAAGTTGGTTCGCTCGATCAAGTTAAAATATTGAATACTCAATCATGGCTTGACTGTAAATTTGGGCCGTGACAATTTACTACTCGGGCATGAAGCTTATTTGAGCTTCCATTTATTTGGGGAATTTGTTCTTTTATTTTTTCAAGTGAACACGTATTATATCTGAAGTATATATATTTAGAAGAAGAATTTTCCTGGATTAGGTAATCAGTAAGTATAATATTCATAGACTGAAGAAGGGGAGTAGTTAATTAACGATGGAAATATCAAAGAACAAGACAATGATTAGTGTATTTCTTTTTAATCTATTTTAAAAAGTTGTATAGAGAAATAGACACATACCAAGATAATAAAGGTAGTGACCAACTTAAAAATTCAAGTGGTATATATTTGACTGAAAATTTTAAATAAAACTGTTGAGTGTTGTCCATCAATTAAATCTTGTACATTTCTTTTCAAATTTCCAACTATTTTTTCAGCTAACATTGTCCCACTGTTGACGAAAAATTCAATATGACATACTCAGAAAATTTATTAATTTTTAAATATGTTTTTTTGTCCTCGGAATAAATTTCAAACTGGATTTGAAAGAGAAGACTATTCAGGTGTTTATGTTGAAAATATTTTTGTTGAAATTTTATTAGTGTACTTTGATAAGTGTCCCACATTGAATGAAAAAAATGAAATGTTATTTTAGGATAAAATACAAAATTAACCAAACGGTCAAAACTAATTATATTTACTAGCCAAAACGTTTTGAAAATACACTACTTTCTAATGATGTCAAACACTATTAAGTAGTTGAACAGCTGAAGTGGTGAACCAAAGAGCTAACGGAAATTACTACTATCCTTTTTAAATTATGTGTTTTAATGTACTATTTACTAGCTTTTTAAAAACAAATATTTTTTTGGTAAGTTTTTAATTATAGTATTTTCATTTTACCTTTTTGATATTCAAGTATTTAGGGTAGAAGCTATTAGTTCAACTCAACCCATACCTTTCGCTTCTACACTGCATTTTTGCCTATAAAATTATTAAATATGTACAAATAATAAATTTTGAACAAATTAAGTTAAATGAGATATGGTAGAATTGTGAATCTGAACCCATAAAATTTAAATCCTGAATTTGCACTCTGCTAAGTGACACAATATATTTAAAATCACAAGATTCAAAAGGCTATTTTTAATATATTACTCCATAAAACAAAAGATTCAAAGTTCTCTGTATATTCTAATTCTATATTATGTCTAGTCAAACTAAGACATAAAATAAAATGGGTATAACAAAGCAGTTAGTCGTAATGCCAAATAAGATATTTAGAATTGAAATACATTTTGGTCTAAAGAAAAAAAAAATTAATTGATATAGCAAAAATGTGGGGAAAATGATTGTTGAAATTTCCAAGTGAAATTGATGAAACACAAATGCCCATTTTCCTCAAAAATCAATTTTGCAGAGAACTCTTTCGACAAAAGTACATCAATCACAGCACAATGCCGATACACACAATCTCTGCTATTCTTTTTTTCTTTTTAGAAATTATCTATTTGAAGAAAATAAGGAAAAAAAGAAATGAAAATGAAAACAACCAAGATAAGAAAAGGGTTTAGGGTTTTAACGCCCTCTATGAGATACAAAGATATGTTTTGTAGACGGCAAGGCTAACTATGCTTATATAGGCGTAGCCCGCAGATAAAAAGGGGATGTGCACAAATAGCCAGTTTTAGGACCCTTATTTAAAGAATAACCGAAATTTACAAAATTTTAAACTTTAACCACTTTACAATTAACTTCATCGGGTCTGAAGTTGAGAATCATGGGTCTGAAGTTTCAAACCTCAGACCTGATGGTTTGAGTTGACCTGAATGCAAGAAGAAGAAGAAGAAACAGCAACTGCATGAGCCGTTCGAAATTTGTTAAAACTGGTTAAAAGTTAAATGATTTTTAAAAACTAGATAATGTTAAATTGAGGTGCTCAAAGCCAAAAAAATACAGAATAGGACACTTTTTAGGTGGTCTTTAACTTTTGGCTTCTATAGGTCGATAGGCAGAATTTCAATGTCAAAAGTTAAAGTGTTGGCCATGAACAAGCTAGGAGCAACACTTGTTAAACTTGAAATTGCCCATGGAACAAGTGCGGAACAAAAATTCAAGATCATATACTTTAATGGGTCGTTTGGTATGAGGTATAAGAAGGTATAAGGGTGGTATAACAATTTAATACTACCTTAATACTTTGTTTGGTTAGTAAACCACGTATAAGTTATCCCGATGTTAATTTTAACACCGGGATAACTTATACCTTATAAAAGGTGGGATAATTAACATCGGTATAACTTATACCTTCTTCTTAGAAATTATGCAATTGTCATTCTTAATACAACATACCAAACAATGAATAAACAACAATCCCAGCATAACTAATCCGAGCATAACGTATACCGGTATAAATTATATTCCAACCAAACGACCCTAAGGGCTATTTATGTACTTCACCGCTTCAAAGCGCCCGTGGAACACGCGCGGGACAAAAATTCAAGTCATACACTTTGAGGGCTATTTATGTAATTCACCCCCTCAAAGCGGCTAGCTGATGTAATTTCTACCAGAAAAAGGGTTCAGGGTTTTAGCCATTTCCCGGGCATATTAAGGTCTGTATAATTGTATTCTACTTTTTTCTTTTTCAATTGGGTTGATTTTTCTTAATAATTTTCAAAAATCAGACTATTTCTGAAGTGGGTATTGTTCAATCAATGGTGTTAGGCTTCTTTTACATTTCAAAGGTGAATTCTTGCAACTTAGTTCTTGATTTTTCTTCAAAATTTTGGTAAAACAAGGCTATTTTACAAGTGGGTGTTGGTCAGTCAATGGTGTTAAGCTTGTTTAGGTTACAAAGGAGGAATCTTTTTGTTAGAACTCTTCATTTAGGTCAGCAATTCACAACCCCAAATACAGAAGACATCTTATTCAAAGCAGTTTGTGTGAATTTGAGGGAAAAGAAATGGAAATTCTTGGACCAAATGTCTTCAACTCTCACAAACTCTGTTATTTATCGTGTTTTTCGCGAGTTTCGCAGCTCTCACCATGTAGTTTTAGAGCTTTACAAGAGAATTTCAGCTAGTAAAAATGTGTTGAATTCTTTGGAAAGTTGTTGCATTGTGATTCATTCATTGGTGAGTTGTAAAAATTATGATGATGCTTTGTTCTTAATAAAAGAGTTAATGATAAGTAGAGGGTATTCACCTTTGGATATTTTGCAAGTGTTGTTGGATACTTGTGATAATAGTTTCGCATGTAATGCAGTTTTTGATGCGTTGATTCGGGCTTGTACGGAGTTCGGGGCAAGTGATGGTGCATATAGTGTGATCAAGAAGTTGAGGGTGGAGGGTTATTTTGTTTCAATTCATGCATGGAATAATTTTATGAATCATTTAGTTAAAGTAAACGATGTATGTCGTTTTTGGTTGATGTACAATGAAATGGTTTCATATGGTTATTCTGAGAATGTGTATACCTTTAATTTGCTTGTCTATGCTCTTTGTAAAGAATGTAAATTATTAGAAGCTATTTCCGTGCTATATAAGATGTTGAAGTGTGGGATAGTGCCCAATGTTGTTACTTTCAACATGCTTGTAGACGGCGCTTGTAGAATAGGGGAACTTGATATGGCGTTGAAGCTTGTTAGGAACATAACAATCATGTCGTGGGGATGTGTGATTCCTAATACAATTACGTATAATTGTCTCATTAACGGATATTGCAAGTTAGGAAGTGTAGCAATTGGAGAGCAATTTTTGGACGAAATGATTGAGATGGGTTTGGAGCCAAATATAAGAACTTATGCAACATTGGTCGATGGGTACTCAAGAAATGGAATGCTGGAGGAGGCATTTAGGATTTGCAATGCTATGGTTGAGAAAGGTTTGATGCCTAATTCAGTAGTTTACAACACAGTAATCCACCAGCTTTATATTGAAGGAGATGTCGATGGGGCTTACAGTTTACTGTCTGACATGATTGAAAAGTATATATCTCCGGACAAATTCACCCATTCAATTCTTGAGAAAGGACTATGCAGGAACGGTCGTGTAAAGGAAGCTCTTAGTTATCATAAGTCTATTGCGGAAAAGAACCTCGTGGAAGATGCTTTTTCACACAACATTCTCATTGATTATCTTTGCAAAAGCCAGAATACATTAGGGGCACAGCAACTTGTGTGCAGCATGTTTGTTCGTGGTCTAATCCCGGACTTAATCACATATGGTACTATGATAGATGGATACTGCAAAGAAGGCAATATTAATAGAGCTTTTGAGGTATATGACGATATTATAAAGGTGAAGAAAAATCCCAACTTAGTGGTATACAATTCTATTTTGGATGGTTTATGCAAAGAAGTGTCAGTAGATGTAGCGGAACTGTTGGTAGAGGAACTAAAGGAAACATCTTTATATGATGTGATCACTTGCAATACATTGTTGAATGGGTATTGCATCAGCGGGAAGATTGACAAAGCATTGCATTTATTCTTGAAAATGAGAAAAGAGAGGATATCTGTTAACGAAGTCACTTACAATATTTTGATTAATTTCATGTGCAAGTTGGGGCTGATTCAACATGCAAAAGAACTGATGTGTCTCATGATCACACAAGGTATTTTGCCGGATTGCATAAGTTACACAACACTTCTCACGAGTATGAATAAGGAGAGAAGCGCAGAGGAGGTTGTTGAGCTCCACGACTATATGGTGCTTCGAGGTGTAATTCCTGATGGTGAAACTTATAGAACCATTGTTGATCCACGTATTAAACAAATAGGTTTCGATTTTGATTGAGTTATGCTGTTACGATGAGTAATGCCAAATTATATCAGCACACGTAACCATAGGTGGGAAACACTTGAAACTTTGTGCAGGCACTTTTACAATAGCTGATCAAATGAATCTCTCGTGGCTGAATATTACGCTTCGATTTGTCCTACTATATACTAAACCTTGTTTTGTTTCTTGCAGATTATGTAACTTCTATCTGATCAGAAACAGATGATATGATATTTTCTGCTGAGGTGAAACTTCTTTTATATATATTCAACTCCCTGACCAATATATTAACTTTGTGCCTACCTGAAATCTAAATTCCTTTTCTCTTTTGCTTTGAATTGGATATCGGGATTGCAATGTGTTTATGTAGAATGCTCTACTTCCTTTTGTCCGTTTGACTAATTTCTTTCCTCCAAACGATGCTTTATAGTAGGTAAAAAGATCCCCCAGCTATGTAGAATGCTCTACTAGTTAAGAATGTTTGTGCAATTTAATGCCGTCTATATTTTAAATATAAATATGTTACCTTCTCAAAAACAAAACAAAAAGAATGTTTGTGCAACATAACCATGACTGCACCATAGCTTACAGTGTGGTCAATTAACTTTCTTTCTTTAATTGAAACCAAAAACCATAGCTATACTCTTTCGACAGAACTTATTGAGGAGCTTAACTTCTCAATTTTTACAGCGAATTGCCCTAATGAGAATAGGGATTTAGGGATCGCGGTTTGCTACAACAACAAGCCCAATGTAATCCCACATGTGGTGTCTGGGGAGGGTAATGTGTACGCAGACCTTACCCCTTCCTTGTGAAGGTAGAGAGGCTGTTTCCGATAGACCCTCGGATCGCGGTTAGCTGCTGATAGAAATTTGTAAAATTACCAGTTGTGAGGAATGAGGTATCAGTTCGGATTCTTGTGGCAGTGGAATGCTTACTGGGACGAGTGGGTTATCACCTCTCCTGTTAAACAAAGTTTTCATTGACTAGTATTTAGGATTCAGCTGAATGTTTTCATGTATATGCCAGAAACTTAATTCTGCAAAATATGAAGTTTACAATTTACTGTGGTACCTTGTTGCACTTTGTGAATTTACATAAAAGTGACATTGTGAAGATGTCTGCATTTCCTTATTTGCTTTGTTTGCATGTAGTCAAATTGTTATCTAGTGAAACCAATCGAAGTTTAAATGTGGTTTAAATCCCATTTTCGAGTAAGTGATGTCCTGCATCTCAAGTCACCTTATCTTTTATCATCTTTGCGTCTTCCGTTGATTGATTAGAATTGCTAACGGTTGTTATACCGTTATTAACATGAATAACAACTCTTGCAATTGATCATTGAAAAGATTTATATGATTTCTAAAATTTCTGTGAGGTTCTTATAATGGGACACTACATTATCATAAGGTTCTTATACTAGTCTATCCGAAGTCCGAACTGATGCCTTGAGATCTAAGCTTAGTTTTTCTTGGCATAACAAATTTGAGCTAATCCCTCTTCTTTTAATATATAGGTGGGGTGATCGTTCCAATGAATGCTTTGCACTTTGAGCTATTTGGATTGTACGTCCAAAACGTCATGTTATACATTATCCACATTGAATTAACTGCGTAGGAAATCCCATTACATTTTCTTTCGTTTCAATATTTAACTATTACTTATCCGTTATGGTGTTGTATAATGAAAAATGTGTTAGAAATATTTCATCATGCATCTACGCTTTTTTATACGGTGATTAGACCCTATAACATTATTTTTCTCCTTCACAATCTGTTTGTGTCAGGTACTAGTACATTGAATCTTTAGAGAGGCGCTGGACTCAAGACAAGCCATTACGAAGCGTCATGAGCCTGGGTCAGGCGACCCAGAAGGACCAGACATACTACACGCTAAAAAGAGGGTAAATAAGTCTATCATTGTTTGAGAATAGAACAGTATCGACAGAATTTGATTGGGGGTGTGGTCTTGCCCAAGAAAGGATGGAAGAGCACCAATAACACATTGTATTGAAGATAACCCCACTTTTGATCAACATCCATCCTCTCACGTATTCCCTCAAGCAGCGGAACATTCAGCGCCCAAGCAGTTATATGCTCCAACCTACGTTGTTTAAGTAGCAAGAAGACTTAACTTTAGAATATCAACATTTTCTAAAGAAAATTCAATTTTCTCTACACTTCCAATTTCAAGCACCCCCCCAAAAAAAAAAAAACTAGATGGGGTTTCCACTTTGTATTTTCAATCTAGTATTTTACTGGCCCAGTGTTACCTGAAGTTTGCTAAGTATAGCATGGACAGGGGTGTTCATGGTTCGGTTTGGATCGGTTTTCCCCGAAAAAGAAACCAAACCAAATAAGTCGGTTTTTCAAATATTAGAACCAAACCAAACCAATTTAGTCGATTTTTTCTCGATTCGGTTTATGTCGGATTTTGTCAGTTTTTTCGGTTATTTGTCGGTTTTTTTCTTAAATATACGACATACACTACCAAACACATATTTCGGCGACCACATTTTTAACGTAACACTATCAAATCAATTGCCCTTTTAGAAATCTATTATTTATCAAGATATATTGATAATAATTGAATTAAATAGTGATGAATAATTTAAGGACTCAATTAAAAATATATTATTTTTAACATGAAATGGATTCTTACACTTAACAAAAGAAAACTACCAATCAAATTAGAATGTAAAGGTAAAGAACTATACTTAAGTGCAAACTATTAACATTTACCATAAAATATTTGAAACTTTGTATAAAAATATACATATATATAGGTGTAATAATGAATTTGAAATACCTACTCCTATAGTCGGTTTGGTTCGGTTTTTTTCTGATTAAAACCATAACCAAACCAAATTTGATCGGTTTTTAAAATTCAAAACCAAAACAAACCAAAAAGTATTGGTTTTTTCGGTCGGTTTGGTTTGGTTTTCGGTTTAGTTTGGTTTTTCGGGTTTTTATGAACACCCCTAAGCACGGTTATAATACCTGAAGCAAATGAGAGTATAGAGAAAAGGTGTTGGTGTGCCATCAAAGTGATAGAGTAATAGCAGCTTACGCCTTTTTCTCTCCTATGTTTCCTTTTGGTTTTTTCCAACCATCTATATGGAGACACTTGACATTTCCTTCAACAGAAATCTTTGCGTACTGCAGAAAATTTATCAAGTTAACGAATAGCCATTTTTATTAATGTTATTCTTAATAAGAGCAAAGAGGGGGAGCCTTGGCGTAATTGATAAAGCTGCTGCTATGTGACCAGGAGATCACGGGTTTGAGCTGTGGGACCAGCCCCTTCCCTACACCCAGTGCATAGCGGGACCTTTGTGCATCGGACTGCCCTTTATTGTTAATAAGAGCAAACATCAAGCTAAGGTATCCACCTGCTGGCAAAATCCCTGTTTTAAAAAAACAATCCATTTACTAAAATGTTCTGTAAGTTGTCACAAAAACAAAGAGTGGGAAAATAATCTGCTCTACTTTCATTTTTATGCAAACTGTATAGTATACATCTGTAAACTGAGAAACACATTGTGTAAAACTATCCTGTATCTCCTCCTTCTAAACAAATTTCAAACAAGAAAAAATACAACCAGATTCTTCATTATACATATTGAATTTCTTTCTTATCCAAATGAATACATGGTTTATACACTCGTTCGTGTACAAAAATCCTTCAAATGTTCCGTTTGTGTAGGAAATACACCGTGTTCTCTAGCCAGCCTACACGACTGTTCAGTAATTAGCTGATACATTGAAGGCCTCTCCCACGGAACAATTCCAAAATCATCATTATACAGTTCCATTCCTTCAACTAAAAACTGCCAGATAAACGAACCTGCCCCCGACCTGTTTCTTTTTGCAGACTTGTATATGATATCAAGAACCATTTTGTAGAATCTATCTCGTTGAGCAGGTTCAAAGTCTTTGTTCTCGTTTGATAGACCGAATTCAGTGAACATGATAGGTTTCCTTAGTTCCTTGTCACCGTCTTCGATGTGAGAAAGCATCCATTTGGCTGCAAATTTTAGTTTTTCTTCGAAATTTTTGTGAAACCTACCAAAAAAGGATGTCAAAGAGGGAAAATGCTCTACGACAACAACAACAACAATAACAAACCTAATGTAGCTCCACAAGTGAGGTTTGGAGAGGGTAATGTGTATGCAACTTGCCCCTACCTTGCGAAGGTAGAGAGGTTGTTTTCAGTAAACAAACAAAAAAGGCAACCCGGTGCACTAAGTTCCCGCTATGCGCGGGGTCCGGGGAAGGGCTGGATCACAAGGGGTCTATCCTCGCAGCCTTACCCTGTATTTCTGCAAGAGGCTGTTTCGGTAAACAAAGAGGGAAAATGTTCTGAGTGGCTAAATTTGATCAAGAACTTCCTCTTTCAAGTTATACCTTTTTCTTTCTCATTTCCTATTTGTATTTGTCACAAATTAATAAAGTTGAGTATGATAAAAAGTTTACCAATGGTCTGGGTATATATGTACAGAGGCGAAATCAATCGTCGAAAGCATGGAGTTGCGGATGAAATCTGATCCAAGATCAGCAGCCCAAAACTCTGGATTGCCAGTTGATTTTTTGGGACTTTTACGACCGTAGAATCCTTCTAGGCCTACTGTAAGCAGATGTTTCCTATCTATTGATTTCACAAATGTTGACATCTCTTCTATCCAATCCTGCAAAATTATATGATGCAATTAGTTTATATCCAGGTATGAATGCAAATCAAATAGGCGCCCTCATATTAATATGCCAAGTACTGAATTATCTCCAATACTGATATAAAGAAGAAATGTCCAGACATTTAAAATTCAATCTGTAATGTATAATAAATAGGTTTAGGAGGGAATGCCAAGTGTTAGAAAAAAATAAGATAATGCAAGCTCATAATACTACAACTTTCTAAAGATATATAGTGAATAGAGGCAAAACCAGGATTTTTACGCGACGGGGGCACAATATTCTGCTCAACCAGTGCCCCTTAAAGGCTTTTAGTGATCAGGGTGCCTAAATACGTTTTAAAAAACCATTTTCAAGGTATATACATATACATATACAAGATTTCTGTCGAAGCTTATGGGGTCCCGTGACTCCTCACTATAACACATAGGTCCGCCTCTGATAGTGACCCCTCAAATTTCAGAGAACCGGAATAACAAAAATGAATAGCTATCCAAATTAAGGACTACTTTTCTGTCAAATACTATGATATTAACAATGAGCTGAGAGTCTAGAGCTTACTTGGAGTGTGTCACCAGAAGGATCGGTCATGCAGCGGGGCTCGTTTATTAACTCCCAAGCAAAGATAGTTGGATCGTCCCTGTACTCAATCCCAGTGTATAAGTTTCTCCTTGTTAGCACCGTCTGGAAGTATGAAAAAAGAACGATTACATGGGTCAGAAGTTTACAGTAAGAATGTAATGTTAGTATTAGTACCAAGATGTGGCATGTGACTGCAGAAAACAACAACAACAACAACAAACCCAGTATAATCCCATACGTGGGGTCTGGGGAGTTAGTGTGTACGCAGACCTTACCCCTACCTTGAAGGTATAAAGACTTTTTCCAATAGACCCCCGGATCAAGGAGCAAAAAGAGAGCTTAATCATGAGTCATCACATTGCCTAATGCCAAAACTATTCCGTCCCTCCTATAGCATGATACAAGGGGTAATTTAATAAAGCAATCGAGTCATTCCGTAGGCACACAAAACTAGAAGAAGATAAGAACTGAAAAGCGCCAATATAACTCAGTTCATTCATAATGTACCTTTCTGGAACAATAATGGCCATTCGGCCTAGGAATCCAGAAGTGAGAACAGATCAAACTCTTCCTTATCCCCATTCCTTCTCCACCTTATAAAAGGCAGCCCGATGCACTAAGCTAGTTTAATCTTGCTTTAAATTGTATATTCTGCGCTTTTCAGTCTTTTCAGATATAGATCTCCTGATTTCATAGTCAGCACAACTCCCAGAGTGCAGAAGCACTAATTTAGACAACTATCATGCGATTCATGGTCATTGATACTCTCAATTAATATACTTGTAAGTCGTCAATCATGCTAATCACTCTATTTTGAAGTAGCACCAATACTCTTTTCACTTCTTCTGCACTATTCGGCATCTTAAAATGAAAATATAATTGCACCTAGTATGATAGTAAAAATCACACTGGCACTCTAGCATTCCTCTCGAGCTGAGGGTCTTTCAGAAATAACGTCTCTACCTCCCTAGGGTAAGGGTAAGGTTTGCGTACATACTACCTTCCCCAGACCCCACTTGTGGGATTTCACTAGGTTTGATTGTTGTTGTTACTCTGGGGAATGAGCAGGAACTTCAGTAAACTGTTGTTTCACTTTAAAGTACGATCTATATCAGTCAATACTTAAAGATACTTCTCATCTTTATAAACTTCATTAAGAGGAAGGTGTTAAAACAACCAAAAAGAAAATCAGGCGAGGTAGTCAAGGTAAGTGATCTTATCTGAAATCTCAATGTGGAAGTTTTGTACAGCTCAATTGAGATCTCTGAATTCAGAACTCCTAAAATATGGGCTTTTTGAAGTGAAGTTAAGAGTTAAGACATAACTTCTCCAATGAATTAATGTTTCAAATAGAACACTTAGGTCTAAGTAATTAAGTAAAGAACATTTTCCGGTTATTTAGATAGTGCCTCGATAAGGTAAATTTTTCTGCACTTCAAAAACAGTCTTGCAGCAGAACGAGCAATTTGACCAAGAGAACTACCAAATTTTATAGGATCCAATGTGTATTCTCTTGCTCTCTGTCCGACAATTAGAACAATGGTAAATTTCAGAAACACAGACGTAGCGCAACATACAAGTTTATCCTGAAGAAACTATTTCCCTAGGAAAATTACCTTGACATAATGTTTGAAATAACGACGAATGGTAGGGTCATAGAAGAATGAATCATTGGAAGAACTTAAAGCAACACCTTCTTTCTCTGCCCATTTTACATACTGAGTCTTCCCACCAAATGCATTCAGATTGTTAACCAAGCTAAGCATTAGCCTAATACCGTTCTTTCTCGCTTCTGCAATAACATGATCCAATGCCTGCAACAACACATTTCTGCATCAAGTGGAAGAAAAAAAAAATACCGGAGGCAAAATAAACGAATTTGTACACCAGATAATAGCTAGTAACAGTACTTAATCAAGAAAGTAATAATAAATCCATGCGCCAGAGAAGAAAAACTCATGATCAAATTAGTAATTATGAAAACTCAGTAACTAGAATTTTGGGGGATTTAAAGAAAATAAACTTAAAAAAGACTGGAAAATCAGGAAAGCAGGAAGCAAATTAGACATACTTTACATGATGGTAATTTAAAAGACTAAAGCTATAAACACAAGATTAGATGACTACAAATTTATGTATTTAACAAAACTTCACAAGTCCTATAACTAAACATCTTTTATACAAAGAGTTTAAGTTCTGTGCACTGACAGTATATAGACCTTCAACACTATCAAGTTAAGTCGACCTATAACAATCGGTAAATCTTCATATCGGACTTGACTGAACATAGGATAATAACCTGCTATAAAAAAATAGGGCAGCTTGGTGCACAAAGCATCCCGCATTCACGCAAGGTTCGGGAAAGAGCCGATGTAGGCAGCCTACTCTAACGCAAGCATCGGTGGCTGATTCCATAGTTCGAATCCGTGACCTATAGGTCACACGGAGACAACTTGACCGTTGCTCCAAGGCTAAACTAATGCTATAGCCGATTATATCAAACTAATGGTGAAAAAATGAGGTATATAATTTAAATCCTTTTAAAAATAGGGTACAATTCAACCAATAATTGTAGAAAGATTGCTCAAAAGGGAAAACAACCAAAGTAAAAAACATATTATAATTATAGAAATAATACTAAAAACAAGTTTTGCTTACTCTAAAAACTCTTTCATCAAATCTACCAGGAGAAATCTGCAGGGCATTATATCCACCATCATTAAAAGCCCAAGTTCTACATACAGTGAGTCCCATCTTAGCACCAGCTTGTAAAATTCCTCTAATTCTTGATCTTTTACTATAATCCACAGCATGATCCATTAACCAATAAGAATTCCAACCATTTATGTAAAAAACTTTACCATCAACAAAGAATTGAGTCCCATTTCTCTCCACAAAACTTAGCTCTATTTCTTTGTTGTAACTGAACCACAATAAATCTCCAAATGAAAAATAAAGAAAAGTGACAAATAATGCTAAACCAATTACTGGATATAATAGGCCACCATTTCTTGTGAGTTTTCTGCTCATTGGTGATTTAACCATTGCATGAAATGGAAAATGCTGAAACCTATAAAACAAGATTGTAAATTTATGTTATAAATATAAGAAATTTGATTAATATAAAACACCAAGATGTATATGTGTGTGTGTGTGTTTTTAATACCTGGGATCTCCTTAGCTGTCCAATTTGTGATTTTTTCAAGAACAATGAGATCTCTTTTCTGAGAAAAAAGTAGTAGTATAAGCAATTACTTCAAGCAGAGACAAAGTCGTCAATTTGGGCAGTGAAGGCTGAGGACTGTGAGACTGCATCACGTGTGTGTGGGGGTTGGGGGGAGGAGGAGGCAGGGGTGGGGTGTGTGTGGTGGGGGTGGGGGGGGGGGGGGGTCTAAGTTTATTGTTTTCTGTGTCCAAATTTTGACGTTTGTTTTAGGTACGTGATTTATGGGTATAGTGGATCAAGAATCTCAAAGATTACCCTTCTTGATATACAATCAAAATACACATATAATAATATTTGACATTAAAATTTATGACGGTTTTAAACAAAAATTATTCAAAGATCAACTTTTTTAATATTGCATAAAAAAGATATGAAAATTATTTAAATTTATATGCTAATTAAATATTAAATAAAGTTAATACTCCCTCCGGTCCGAAATAAGTGATTTTTTTATCTTTTTTTTATGGTCCAAAATAAGTGATTTTTCCAGATTTCAAGAATGAATTAATTATTTTTTTCCTACATTGCCCTTAGAGTAAATAGTGTTGGAGTATGTGTTAGGAGTATTTATGTGACGAGATAGTAATGGTTAATATGGTCAATTTCATTGCTAATTAATGTTAAAGGTGGATTTCTTAATTTGTGTGAAAATAGCTTAAAAAAATCACTTATTTTGGACCGGAGGGAGTACATTATTAATAAATTCATAACTAAATGTGCAAATATTTAAACTCTAAAGCACACATTTTAAAGTTATTAGAAGATTAAACAATTTTAAGATTGATGGAAGAACTCTGTAATTGTAGCTTTGCTCCATAGATTTCAGTCTCTTACTAGCTTACTAGTGATATAACGCTTGAATTGNCTATTAATTCTAAACTATTTACCCTTTAATGCCCAGGCCCAAACTATTTACTACTCCTACCCATGGAGTTTAAACTATTTACCCGGTGACTCTACCTACGATTATCGTGCTGGGAAGGTAGACATTGGAAAGACTACAACAAGCACGCATGCACTAAGCACGCCTACTGTATCTTTTTAGTGTTTTAGTCGATGTGAACTTCGAAAAATCCCTTTTTATCTAAACAAATTTTTTTTATCTAAACAAATCTTATTTACCCGGTTACAATGAAATAGAAGTGGAAGAAACCTGGTAAACAGAACAATACGAAATATGAATTGTGGAAGGAAGTCAGCACGAGAGGGTTGGTGTTTGGAGGTGTAAATGGAGTTCCATTCTTCCTCTATTTTCTTCTTCTTCTCTAAACCCAATAGTTTTCTAGAGTTAACACTTGAATTCGTTTCCATTTCTATTATGGGGTTTAATTCTAAAATGATTTCTCTTATTGTAGTATTCTGGGGTTCATCATCAATTGCAATTCACACTTATTTCTCACTAATACCTTCTTCTTTCTCTTCACCCAAACTCGTTTTTGGAGATTTATTGTACAAAAATTCAAATCCACCATTGAAGGACCTTGAAGCTTGAAACTCATTAACTTGGTTTGTTTGAGTTTTTAATTATTTTGATCCGATCCTATATGGGTTTGTTTGGAAAGTTGATTGGAGGTTGTAGCTAAAGTTTTAGTCAATTTGGTGGAGATTTTATTTTAGATTTGAAGTTTAAGTTGAAATATAGCTGAACAAGAGAAGAAGACGAATTTGAATTGTATACTCAAATAGTATACAAATATATCATTTTGGTATACAATTTATTCCAACTACAGTGCCGGCTCAAGGGCCAAAGCGACTGAAGCAGGCGCTTTAGGCCCCAATTCTTTTAGGCCCCTTTAATTATTAAAAAGTAGATCTTATGTGTTAATTTTTTTTTTTTCAAAAATATTTAATAATTTAATGAAAAATATAAAATCTAAAGAATTTTTTGTTATGTATTTGAAAGTGACTATACATACATTTCTGGTAATGTACATATATAATCCAAATTATTTTTATTCTCTTTTTTCATTCACATAACAATACCTTGTATTCTAGGTTTTCTATTCTTTTTCCTCCAAAGTTATCTATTCTCATAAAAACAAGTGTTGAAGGGCATTGAATAAATAAAATTGCACATTTTTCTTCATTCTTTCTCGAGTTGTTAGGCATAGCAGCAAGCAAACCAACAAGGAAATTTTTGTTTTCAATATCAAGTTACAACTTCTAGAATCAATTTTATTTTATTGTTCTAACTTGTTATTCTCTTCTTTTTTTTATTATCTTTTTATATTTTACTTCGTAGGTCTATATTGCTTTTTATATGATTAATTATAAATATACCAACTAGAAAATAAGAATCAAGTAATTACTTTAAATTCATAAAAAAGGAAAAAATTGAAACTTTAATGCAATCTCATAATAGAGCTCTTGATAAATTTTTAATCCACAATAAAAAATAAATTAAAACATAATGAGAGTGCTCTTTAGAATATGAACAAGTCACTAAGTTGATTGCAAGTGCATACAGGAAAGGAAATAATAAAATATATAGAAACTTTGCATCTAAAGTTACTACAAAATATAAACTTCATATAATGTACGAAATTTTGTAATAAAATATTAAGGCCTCTAATAAAAGTTTGGCTTTAGGCCACTAAGTAACTTGAGCCGCCACTGTCCAACTATATACCCTATTAGTATAGCTATATACTATATTGGTATCATATGCTAGTTGAATCATTTTTTAGTTGTATTAGCTGCATTTATTAGTACAATATTTGATTTTCTTTTAATAATAGTAATATAGTTCAATATCTTGAAATACTTTATTACATTAATATGTGGTACACTATTTTTTTATTTTCTCTTTATGCATGTGTGTTATGTAATAGTAGTATAGTCATATAGTTGCCGGGAATTAACTAGTAAAACTGTATACCATGTTGGTATAGTTATATGCCATATTGGTATCATATGGTAGTTTGAACATTTTTTTGGTTGTTTTGGCTGCATTTTTAAGTGAATTCTATTCTGAAATTATTTATATGAACTGATTTGCAGTGCTGGAAAATTTTTGTGCTTATGGATATAGATTATGTGTATTATGTAATAGTTTTTATAATTATAGGCAATTGTTGGAACGACCCATACAACTATTTACCCTGTTAGTATATGGAATGAGCAAGTTGCTTTGCGAATATTTAGCTTGCAATGCGAGCATGTAATTTTCTCATACTTTTATTATGTCCTTTAATGTTTTGGTACAGTAGTATAATCACACATAGTTGTAGCAATATTCTAGAGCAATCATATACTATGTTGGTATACATGTATACCATATTGGTATCATGTGGTACTAGAAGTCTTTTTTGCTACTTATATTTTTATTGCATTTTCCAATATTTTATTATCATTTCTATTCTAACTAGTATATATGGAGATTTAGTGGCCGTAGATTATATTGTCTTGCTCCATCACTGATTGGTGTTACTGCTAATGGTAGAGTATGTACTAATATTTGTAGGGAAGGAGATCAAGGTTTGCATGGCAATCACGTGGAATTAAAAAAGGAACAAGAAATAAAGAAAAAAAAATAAAGGAGTCAAATTTGAGTGTGAAATAAGTTATGGTAAAAATAACAATAATACGATTTGGGCAAAAATAAATAAATAAAAGAGAAAAAAATAAAAAAAAATAGGAAGAAAATAAGAAGAAAGAAAAGGAGAAAAGAAAAGAAGCATAGAAATAAAAAAAGAATTGGAAAATAAAGAAAAAATTCCCCACTAAAACTACTATGGGTAGGAAATGTAATTAGTTTATGGGTAGAAAAATAAATGGGAAGACAAGGGTAAATAGTTTTGTTTTGTGGGTAACTGTGTCAAAACCCCTTAAGAATACTGTTATAAAGAGGCCTGGCGGTATATAGTACTCCTACTTACAATGTGAAAAGTTACTAGGGCATCAGCGTATTTTAACTTAGAGTTTAACTTATACATATAAATACTTCCTTTATATAATACGAAGTACTCTCTCGTTTCCTTTTACAGCTTGTTTGGATGGTTGTTACGCGTCGTTTCATAATGTATTGTATTGTATTGTTTGATAAAAACAATGTTTGAATAGATTGTGTCGTTTGCCATCGTTTCATGAGATCACGCACCAACAATATGAAAAATAAACTTGTAATATTATAAAGAAAAACTGTGATACATGGTAAAATTACTATATAAAAAGGTAAGGTAAACGATAAATAAAATTATTTTATAATAATAAAGGGTGAGATTGAGAGAAAAAGACAAGGTAACGACGCGACCACACCAAATCGGTCGTTACATAAAGTGGCACCTTTCGTCGTTATGTAATGACGGATTTAACGATACAATACAATAAAATTTAAGTGACAATCAAAATAAACATCGTATTTAAAGTAACAATACGATACGATATAATGGGTAACAACCATCCAAACAAGTTGTTACTAGTTCAATATTAACTTTGTACTCTCCCTAAAAAATTATTTAGTAAGAGTTTATTTTATAAATTATTCTTATTAATGATAATTAAAATTCTATAAAAATTATTTAGTAAGAGTTTATTTTATAAATTATTCTTATTAATGATAATTAATATTCTATCTACAAAGCAATGATTGGAATACACTTAGGCCTCATTTGTTTTTTTTAAGATTAAGACGTCTGAATCTGAATATCAAAATGTGTATTAAGATTAAGACATCTGAATCTGAATACACATCTGAATATATTAAGATGTATATTAAGATCTGAATAGAAATAATTAAGACTGTTTGATTTTTAACATCTGAATGTATAAAATTTATCTTTATTGAAAATTAATAAACAAAAAATTCAAATGAAATACTAACTAATCTAAAATTCTATCAATAAAATATATAGATTTTTAAAATACGATAGCTGTTGGTGGTGATGGCTAACAGGTGAATGCCGACTAGAGGTGGTGGTTGGTGGTAGTTTTGGTTGATGATGGTGGTTCATGCTAGTAGCTAGTAGTGATTGGTAGTGGTGGCGATTATGATTGAGGATGGTGGTGGTGGGTGGTGATAGTGAATAATAGCGGGTGGTGGTAGTAGTTGTGACTGATGAAGGTGGTGGGTTGGTGGTGGTAGGTTATAATGATGGGTAG